AGGTTGGGAGTTTAAGACCAGCCTGACCAACATGGAGAAACCCTGTCCCTACAGAAAATACAAAATTAGCAGGGCGTGGTGGCACATGCCTGTAATCCCAGCTACTCGGGAGGCTGAGGCAGGAGAATTGCTTGAACCTGGGAGGCGGAGGTTGTGGTGAGCTGAGATCGTGCCACTGCACTCCAGCCTGGGCAACAAGAGTGAAGAGTGAAACTCTGTCTCAAAAACAAACGAACAAACCAACCAGCCTCATAACTGGTCTGCTAGCTTCCAACTTTTCTTTTTTCCTTTTTTTTTTTTTTTTTTGGAGGCAGTGTCTCATTTTGTCGCTCAGGCTGGAGTGTAGTGATGTAATCATAGCTCACTATAGCCAGCCCTGACCTCCCAGGCTCGGGTGATTATCCCACCTCAGTGTCCCAAGTAGCTGGAACTACAGGTGTGTGCCACCACACCTGGCTAATTTTTGTATTTTTTTTATAGAGATGAGGTTTCTCTATGTTGCCCAGGCTGACCTTCCAATTTTTCTTTTGCAGCTTCCTTACCTCTCTCAGCTTTTATAGAGGTGAAGAGAGTTAAGGCCTTGCTCTGGTAGGCTTTGTTTTTAGGGAATATGGTGGCTGGTTTGATCTTGTATCCAGACCACTAAAACCTCTTCCATATCAGCAGTCAGGCTCTTTCTTTGTTACCATTTGTGTGTTTCTAGAGTAGCACTTTTTTTTTTTTTTTTTGAGACAGAGTCTCACTCCGTCACCAGGCGCCAGGCTGGAGTGCAGTGGCGCGACCTTGGCTTACTGCATTCTCCGCCTCCCGGGCTTAAGCAGTTCTCCTGCCTCAGGCACGTGCTACCATGCCTGGCTAATTTTTTTGTATTTTTGGTAGAGACGGGGTTTCGCCATGTTGGCCAGGATGGTCTCGATCTCTTGACCTCGTGATCCGCCTGCCTCAGCCTCCCAAGGTGTTGGGATTACAGGCGTGAGCCACCGCGCTTAGCCTTTTTTTTTTTTTTTTTTTTTTAAAAGAGATTCTTAACTGTCACCCAGGCTGGAAGTCCAGTGGCATGATCTCAGCTCACTGCATTCTCCCGTCTTAGCCTCCAAGTAGCTGGGATTGCAGGCGCATGCCACCATGCCCAGCAAATTTTTGTATTTTTAACGGAGATGGGGTTTCACCATGTCGCCCAGGCTGGTCTCGATTTCCTGACCTCAGGTGATCCAGCTGCCTCGGCATCCCAAAGTGTTGGAATTACAGGCAGAGCCTCTGTGCCTGGCCATTTTAATAATAATTTCTGACTTGTTTTTTTGAGATAGAGTCTTGCTCTGTCACCCAGGCTAGAGTGCAGTGGTGTGCTGTTGGCTTACTGCAGCCTCCACCTCCTGGGTTCAAGTGATTTTCCTACCTCAGCCTCATGAGTAGGTGGGATTACAGCCGTATGCTGCAGTGCCTGGCTAATTCTGTGTGTTTTTAGTAGAGATCGGGTTTTGCTTTGTTGGCCAGGCTGGTCTGGAACACCTGACCTCAAGGGATCTACACACCTTTGCCTCCCAAAATGCTTGTATTATAAAAGCATGAGCCACCTCACTCGGCCATTTCTGATTTGTGATTTAAAGTGAGAGATGTGTGACTCTTTCTTTCACTTGAACACTTAGAGGACATTGTAGGCTTATTAATTGGCCAATTTTCAGTATTGTTATAGCTTAGGGAATTTGGAGGCCCAAGAAGAGTGTTAAGGAATAGCCAGTTGGTTGAACAGTCAGAACACACACAGCATTTATTGATTAAATTTACGGTTTTATGCAGGTATAGTTTGTGATGCCTCCAGACAATTAAAATAGTCTTATCAAATATCACTAATGACAGATCACCATAGCAGAAGAATAATGTAAAAGTTTGAAATTTTCTGAGAATCGCAAAATGTGACACACAGACATGAAGTGAAGATGGCGGTGTTGGAAAAATGACACCAGTAGACTTACTTGTTCAATATAGGGTTGCCACAAACCTTCAGTTTGTTTTTAAAGAAAAAAAAAAAGAAGCAAAAAACAAAAAACTGAATTGCAGTAAAACGAGGTGTGCCTGTATTTTGTCTCGCCTTCCCCCATTCACAGTTAAGGGTTATATTCTGCATATACTACAAGATAATGTTTATTATTTTTTCCATAGGCATTAATTTTGTGGTCTTATAATACTGTTTAATAATTCCCTGGGCCCTTTTTTTGAGAGGGAATCTTGCTCTGTCACCCAGGCTGGAGTGCAGTGACGTGGTTTGGTTTGGTTTGGTTGTGTTGTGTTGTGTTGTTTGTTTTGTTTTGTTTTGTTTTGTGACAGGGTCTTGTTCTGTTGCCAGGCTGGAGTGCAGTGGTGCAATGCACTGCAGCCTCAACCCCCACAAGTTCAAGTGACCCTCCCACCTCAGCCTCCCAAGTAGCTGGGACTACAGGTGTGCACCACCATGCTGAGCTAGTTGTTAAATTTTATTTTTTGTAGACATGGGGTCACCATGTTGCCCAGGCCAGTTTTGAACTCCTGGGCTCAAATGATCCATCCACCTGCCCCAGAATCCCAAAGGGCTGGGATTTTAGGTGTGAGCCACTGTGACCAGCTCATAGTTTTAGAACAGTTATCATCAAAATGAAATCCCTGTGTCCATTAGCTATTACCCTCATATTCCTCTCCACAGTCCTAAGAAATCACTAATACTTTTTGTCTACGTACATTTCCCCGATCTGGACATTTCATATAAATGGAACCATAAGCAAGTGGTCTCTCATGGCTGGCTTATTTCACTTAGCATAACATTTCGCCCATTTAAACCATCAGTACTTCTTTTTTTTTTTTGAGATAGATTCTCTTTTGCCCACACTAAAGTGTAGTGGCCTGTTCTGGGTTCACTGAAGCCTTGACCTCCCAGGTTCAAGCAATCTTCCCATCTCAGCTTCCTGAGTAGCTGGGACTACAGACATGTGCCATTTTCTATTGGCTGGCTATTTTCTATTTTTTTTTTTGTAGAGACAGGGTTTCACCATGTTGCCTAGGCTGGTCTCAAAATCCTAGGCTCAAGTGATCCTTTGGCCTTAGCCTCCCAAAGTGCTGTGATTATAGGTGTGAGCCACCACACCTGGCCTTCATTACTTTTTATGGCCAGGTAATACTCTAGTGTATAGGTGTACCAAATTTTGTTTATCCATTTTTTAGTTGATAAAAATTGGGGTTTGTCCAGGCACAGTGGCTCACAACTCTTAATTCCAGCAAGAGGCTGAGGTAGCCAGATTACCTGAGGTCAAGAATTTGAGACCAGCCTGGCCAACATGGTAAAACCCCATCTCTACTAACTACAAAAATTAGCTGGGCAAGGTGGCATGTGCCTATAATCTCAGCTACTCAGGAGACTGAGGCAGGAGAATCGCTTGAAGCTGGGAGGCAGAGGTTGCAGGGAGGTGAGATGGCACCACTGCACTCCAGCCTGGGCAATGGAGCGAGACTCCATCTTAGAAAAAAAAAATTGGGTTGATTTTTTTACCTTTTGGCTATTGTGAATAATGCTGCTATAAACATTCCTTTGCAAATTTCTTTTTTCTTTCTTTCTTTTTTTTAAGATAGGGTGTCTTGCTCTGTTGCCCAGGCTGGAGTACAGTGGTACTATCAGCTCAGTGCAGCCTCCACCACCTAGGCTTAGGGAATTCTCCTGCCTCAGTCTTTCCAGTACCAGTAGCTGAGACTACTGGTACATGCCACCATAACCAGCTAATTTTTTAATCTAAATTTAGTAGAGACGAAGTTCTCGAAACGTTGCCCAGGCTAGTCTTGCATTCCTGGCCTCAAGATATCCTCCCTCTTTGTCTTTCCACAGCGCTAGGATCATAGGAATGAGCCACCATTCCCGGCTTACATGCAAATTATTGTGCAGACATTGTCACGATTTTGGATATGGTTTGCTCACCAAAACTCATGCTAAAGTTTGGTGTTCATTGCAGCAGTGTTGGGAATTGGGGCCTACTGGAAGATGTTCTGTCATGGGGCCAGTCCTTCATGAATAGATAATGCTGTCTTGTGAGAGTGAGTTCTTAGATTCGTTACCCAAAAAGTGGGTTCTTATAAAGCAGTCCTGTCCACCTCACAGCCCATGGGCCCCATGTGGCCGAGGATGGCTTTAAATGTGGCCCAACACACATTCATAAACTTTTTAAAAACGTTATGAGACTACTATGTGATTTTTTTTTTAAGCTTATCAGCTATCATTAGTGTTAGCGTATTTTATGTGTGGCCCAAGACAGTTCTTCCATTGTTGCCCAGGGAAGCCAAAGCATTGGACACTTCTGTTATAAAGCAAGTTTACTCCTCATTCGTGTGTCCCCCCTCTCTCTTTTTCCACCTCATTCATGTTTCGTCTCTCTCTCTTTCCATTCAGATAGTCTCTCTCTATCACCCAGACTGGAGTGGAGTGGCATGATCTCAGCTCATTGCACCCTCCACCCAGGTTCAAGTGATCTCCTGCTCACTAGCTCACTAGCCTCACTAGTACCTGGGAATACAGGCATGCACCACCACGCCCGGCTAATTTTTTGTATTTTTAGTAGAGGCTTGGTTTCACAATGTTGGTCAGGCTGGTCTCGAGCAAGCTCTTGACCTCAAGTGATCTGCCAGCATCAGCCTCCCAAAGTGCTGGGATTACAGCTGTGAACCACCATGCCTGGCCATGTTTTCTTAATTTCTTTGTCAGATTATTCATTCTAAGTATATAGAAATATGATTTTTTAAAAAAATATATTTTAATTATTATTATTTTTTTTTTGAGATGTAGTCTCACTCTATCACCCAGGTTGGAGTGCATTGGCACCATCTCGGCTCACTTGCAACCTCTGCCGCCCAGGTTCAAGCAATTCTTCTGCCTCAGCTTCCCGAGTAGCCGGGATTACAGGCACTTGCCACCGTGCCCGGCTAATTTTTGTATTTTTAGTAGAGATGGGGTTTCACCACCTTGGCCAGGCTGATCTTGAACTTTGTGATCCACCTGCCTCAGCCTCCCAAAGTATTGAGATTACAGGCATGAGCTACCATGCCTGGCTTTTTTTTTTTTTTTTTTAAACAATAGATACAGGGTCTTCCTATGTTTCCCAGGATGGTCTCGAACTTCTGGGCTTTAAGTAGTTTCCCTCGCCTCATGCCCTCACAGTGCTGGCATTACAGATGTGAGCCACCATATCCAGCCTATAGTAGTCCTTTATAATTGGTTTTATTTATTTATTTATTTATTTATTTGAGACCGAGTTTCACTCTCGTTACCCAGGCTGGAGTGCAATGGCGCGATCTCGGCTCACCGCAACCTCCGCCTCCTGGGTTCAGGCAATTCTCCTGCCTCAGCCTCCTGAGTAGCCGGGACTACAGGCACGCACCACCATGCCCAGCTAATTTTTTGTATTTTTAGTAGAGACGGGGTTTCACCATGTTGACCAGGATGGTCTCGATCTCTTGACCTCGTGATCCACCTGCCTCGGCCTCCCAAAGTGCTGGGATTACAAGCGTGAGCCACCGCGCCCGGCCTATTTATTTATTTATATTTTTTTCAAGACACATTCTTGCTACGAAGTCCAGGCTGGAGTGCAATGGTGTGATCTTAGCACATGACAACCTCCACCTCCTGGGTTGAAGTGATTTTCCTGCCTCAGCCTCCCAAGTAGCTGGGACTACAGGTGTCTGCCACCACACCTGGCCAATTTTTGTATTTTTTGTAGAGATGGGTTTTCACCATATTGGCCAGGCTGGTCTCGAACTCCTGACCTCAACTAATCTGCTTGTCTTGGCCTCCCAAAGTGCTGGGATTACAGGCATGAGCCACCCTGCCCAGCTAATCGGTTTTATTTCTGTAATGTAATTAGTAACATGTCTATTTTCATTCTGAATCTAGTAATTTAGTCTTTTTTTTCTTGGTCAGTTTTGTTGATGTTTTCAAAGAACCAGCTTTTTGTTTCCCTTTCTCTAGCTGCCATCAAGTTCTCCTGGGTGGTAGTATTTTTAGCAACTGATATAGGAAGACGCTGCTCACTTCTGCTTCCCTGCCACTGTCTACTTTTTTCCACCACCCCCTTTTCATCATGCCTTTAGGGGAATTTTCCTATACTTACTGTTGATTTTCCGTTAACTCTCACAGCTCCTGCCATAATTAATTCCATCTGTCTTTTTCCCACATATGTACACTTGCCTGCTTGAATCTCACTTTTCCTTTTCTTTTTTTTTCTTTCTTTCTTACGTGCCGGAGTCTTGCTGTGTCCCCCAGGCTGCAGTGCAGTGATGCAATCTCGGCTCACTGTATCCTCTGCCTCCAGGGTTCAAGCAATTCTCCTGCCTCAAACTCCTGAATATATGGGATTATAGGCGCCTGCCACCACGCCTCGCTGATTTTATATTTTTAGTGGAGATGGTGTTTTGCCTTGTTAGCCAGGCTGGTCTCAAACTTCTGACCTCAGGTGATTCACTGTCCACGGCCTCCCGAAGTGCTGGGATTACAGGCGTGAGCCACTGCACCTGGCCTCCTATTTTTCTTTCAACTCTTAATTCATTTAACCTTAGAAAAACTGTTTTATTTCATTTTTGAGCAAAAAGACCTTAAATAAAGTTTGATCATTTTAAGCTTAAGGCAAATGATTTATCATTATTAAAGAAAAGGAAAGCTAGAGTACTTGGAAGTTTAATGAATTAAGAGATCTATTAAATTGCTAGATGCTCCCATCTAAATTTTCTACTGTAGTCTTCATCTAACTAAATTGTGAGAAAGTAGGCTTTTTGAATTTGCCTGGGAACATAATCAGTAGCTATAACTAATACAGTACAGTTTTTATAGTGTAATGTATGTATTTCAGTAGTCATTTGGGTAAGCATTCCTCTTACTATACTACATAAAACATTTAAATTTTTATGCTCTTGGACAACTTACTTAGCCTCTGTTTCCCCATCTGTTAAACGGGGGTATTAATAATAGTGCTTCCCACAGGTATCATTGTATTACGTATGTTAATGATATATTTAAATTATTTGAAATGTGCCTGACACATAGCAGGAACTCAATACATGTTATCTATTAGTACTATTACAGGTAATTCCTATTAAAAAATAGGCTTTAAGAATTGAGCGTGTGTGTGTGTGTTTTGAGACAAGAGTCTTGTTCCGTCGCTCAGGCTGGAGTACAGTGACTCGATCTCAGCTCACTGCAACCTCTGCCTCCTGGGTTCAAGTGATTCTCCTGCCTCAGCCTCCCAAGTAGCTGGGACTACAGGTGCGTGCCACTGTGCCCGGCTAACTTTTTGTATTTTTAGTAGAGATGGAGTTTCACAGTGTTAGCCAGGATGGTCTCGATCTCCTGACCTCATTACCTGCCCACCTTGGTCTCCCAAAGTGCTGGGATTACAGGTGTGAGCCAACGTGCCCAGTAAGAATTGAGAATTTGTAAAGAAAATAAAATAATACATGGAAACAGTTTGTGTTGTAAAGAAAATGTAAAAAATAAAAAAATTGAGAATTTATTATATGAGGGTCAAACTGTAGAATGATTGGCTTGTGTTGTATCGTCTTCATTCATTTTGTTCTTCTGCCTCACAAATACCTGAAGATTAGAGAGCATCTGAGATTATGTTAAAGCCGAAGTCTCAAAGCCTTTGAACCCGTCATGCAAGTATCAGACTCTCAGACTGCAAGGCTACTCATAATGTTTTAGGACCTTATGAATTCCCCTTGAGGCTAAAAATAACTTCTATGATGACTGTTTTGTTACAGTCAATATCCAGGTAATTTTTAGAATCCTATTTGTGGGTTATCATGAAAGTAGAAATAAACCATTTTTACCTAAATTATCTTCCATAATGATTAATAGCATATTTTGTAGTATGTGCTTGTTAAATGACTTAGGTCTGATAGAATGGATTTCTCTTTTTTTTCTTTTTTCTTTATTTTTTGAGAAGGAGTCTCACTCTGTCTATCTTGAAGGTGGAACTAAATGGAGTAAACCATTTTTACCTAAATTAAAAACTGTCCATAAAAAGAAAGAAAGAAAAAGAAAGAAGGTAAAAACCTTCCATAATGATTAACAGTGTATTTTGTAGTATGTGCTTGTTAAATGGTTTAGGTCTGATAGAATGAATCTCTTTTATTTTTTTTTGAGATAGAGTCTCATTCTGTCCCCAAGGCTGGAGTGCGTGCGTGCGTGTGTGTGTGTGTGTGTGTGTGTGTGTGTGTGTGTGTGTGTGGTTGCATAACTTTTGCCAAATGCAAATTTTGAAGGCATTTCTGTTTTCAGACTTGGTCAATTACTGAAATCTAGAACATGTAAAAAATATACTAATACATTTTATTCCTTCAGAAAATATCATGTACATACATCTTAGTATATAAGGCAGATGTGGAATATGTAAAAGACAGCCCGCATCCTTTAGGAGATCCTTTTGGAGTTCACTGCAGCCTTGAATTCCTGGCCTCAAACGATCCTCCCACTTATGCCTCCCAAAGTGCTGGGATTAGTGTCTTCTTGAGAAGACCTGATTTTTATACTAATGAACATAGCATTAGATGCTGTAAAATAATTGCTTCATAATTGGTACAGTGTTTCCAGTGCAAAAGAGTCAGTGATCCCTTCAGAAGAGGAAGTTGGCTGGGCATAGTGACTCACACCTGTAGTCCTAGCACATCGGGAGGCCTTGGCAGGCGGATATCTTGAGCCCAGGAGTCCAAGGCTAGTCTGAGCAACATGGCAAAACCTGTCTCTACAAAAAATACAAAAATTAGCTGAGTGTGGTGGTGCTCGACTTTAGTCCCAGCTACGTGGGAGGCTGAGGTAGGAGGATCACCTGAGCCTAGGAGCTTAAGGCTGTGGGTGACCTTTGATTAATGTCACTACACTCTAGTCTACATGGCTGAGACCCCATCTCATGAAAAAATGGAATTTGGGCAAAAACATTAAGGGTAAGAATTTAGTAAGAGTATATGTTTGGGTGGGGTGGGCATGTAATGAGCAGAAGCAATTCTAGGACGTTCACATATTTTAAAAAGTGTCAAACTCTATGAGCTTTTTTTTTTCTGTGCAAAGATGTAAAGGCTCAAGATATTTTTGCAAGATAATGAATTAACCCAATTTGACTAGAGTGGAGAGTTGAGATTACATAATGTTTTATGATTACATGTAAATGTATACATATGTATAAGTATACGTGTGGAAAAGGAAAACAATTATAAAATTGATTATGATGTTTAAAATGTCATAAGGAATTAGGCAATAGGAAATCACTGAGTTGGGATGACATTAAAATAGATTAATTTAGGAGCACTGTTGGTTTTAAAATCTAAAGAGACCCAAGTTGGGTATAATGCAATAAGGGCCTAAACTCGTCATTTTGGTAATGGAATCTAAATGTTACCAACTTTATTCAGTATTAAGCTAGCTCACTTTTGTTGTTGTTGCTGAGCTGAGGTCTTGCTCTGTGGCTCAGGCTGGAGCAGTAGTGATGCAATCATAGTTCACTGCAGCCTTGAACTTGAACTCTTGGCCTCAAGAGCTCCTCCCTCTTCAGCCTCCCAAAGTGCTGGAATTACAGGCATGAGCCAGAGCTCCTGCCGGTGAGATTTTCTTAAAAGCAATTTACAACTAGGTATAATGAAAAGGTGTAATAATGATGTGATAAACTTGATCAGTAAGCCACTTAAATTTTGAACTTTAGGCCCAAAGTTGCTCTAATGTGCTGAACTCCAAAATTAGTTTATGTGTTTTAGATAGACTTTTAATTCTAGTGACTTTATGCATTAACTGTGCTCCTACACCACCTGGCTTAGTTTCACCTTAAATGTGTATTCAATAAATAAAAGGACTGTGCTACAAATAATGATACAAAATAGGAAAGGAAGCTGCAAAGAAGCACATATTGGCAAATAGGTTGTTCATTCTCAGTGTATATGCTTAATGAGTAAACTGCCATTTTTTTTTCTTTTTTTTCTCGTGACCTTGTAAACTGCCATTTTAATGCAAAAATTAGACTGTTTAATTCAGAACTCAACATTGTCTTCACACCTGACAGGTGGATTTTTGTTGTTGAAAGATTGATATACATGTAAAATTTTCTGGGATAATAATTTCATTAATAATTCAAGAAATACTGAGTACTTTGTATGAGACATGTTTTCTGTGGATTCTAGGACTACACAAATAAATATATTTTAAATCTGTTGCTTTCATAGAACTTAAAAGTCCAGCACAGTAAAGACAGAATAAGGAAATAAAATATAAGAAAAATGGAGAAAAGTAAAACTAAGAAGAGAAATAGAGTGCTTTTACAACATTAGAGTTAAAATGGTGTCCTTGCAAGTATTAGATTGGCAATCCTAAGATTCGGGTTTTGTTTCGGTTCCAGACCTACCATTAACTCATTGTGTTTCTTCAGTTAATATCTCTAGGCTGAGCATAGTGGCTCACACTTGTAATTCCAGAACTTTGGAAGGCCAAGACAGGCAGATTGCTTGAGCCCAGGAGTTTGAGACAGCTTGGGCAACATGATGAAACCCTCTCTACAAAAACACAAACAAACAAAAAATCCCTAAAATTAGCCAACCATAGTGGCACTTCCCTGTAGCCTCAGCTGCCCAGGAGGCTGAGGTGGGGGGATCGCTTGAGCCCTGGAGGTGGAGGCTACAGTGAGCCCTCTTCGCACCTCTACAATGCAGCCTGGGTGACAAAGCAAGACACTGTCTAAAAAAAAATAAAAATCTGTAGGTCTGTTTCTTCATCTCTTTCTCTTCTGTTCCTCCTCTTTCCCTTCTTTATTTTTATGTGAAGGAATTCACATTTCTGAAGCCCCTACATTATCTAAAAGGTGATTAGATTAACTGCTTTAAAGAGAACCTGAGATTCTTATATATAATATTTTATTTCTTAAACTTTTCTACTTTTTTTTTTAAATCATGAAACAATTTACTTGAAAAGTAAAGGAAGTAGAATAGTAAACTCTTGAAGCAAATCTTAGATTTCATTATTATTTCAGACAATTTCTAAAAGTTAGGATTAAGAAAAATTACATCATGATTATCACACCAAAAGAAACTATCATTAACTGTTATTATATTAATAATCATTAACTATTTTACTAAATACATATACATATTTGTGTATCTAAAATGTAACATAAAAGGTGCATAAAACAAGTGCAGTTTAATAAGTAACCACAAAGTGAATATATGAATAAAGAAACAATATCATCAGCATCCTCAGAAATTGTATGTTGCCCTCAATCATAAGCTTCGTCCATCATACATAATTCCTCTGTTACCATGTTAATGCAGTCTCCTTGGTTTTTTTATATTTTTACTACGTATCTCTAAAAATAATAGGTTCGTTTTTTTACCAGACAGAGTCCTGCTCTGTCGCCCAGGCTGGAGTACAGTGGTGCAGTCTTGACTCACTGCAGCCTCCACCTCCCAGGTTCAAGAGATTCTTCCATTTCAGCCTCCCAAGTAGCTGAGATTATAGGCATCCACCACCATGCCTGGCTAATTTTGTATTTTTAGTAGAGACAGGGTTTTGCCATGTCAGCCAGGCTCATCTCAAACTCCTGACTTCAAGTAATCCTCCTGCCTCAGCCTCCCCAAGTGCTGGGATTACAGGCATGAGACACCATTCCCAGCCAGTTTCATTATTTCTGGTTTTATTTATTTTTTACTTCATTTAGACAGAGTCTCTGTTGCCCAGGCCAGAGTGTGCTGGTACAGCCACATCTCAATTTAAATATATCCAAATTACTGTACAGTAGTTCAGTTATACTTTAATAACACTTCTTTTTTTTTTTTTTGAGATGGAGTCTTACCCTGTCGTCCAGGCTGGAGTGCAATGGTGCAATCTCAGCTCATTGTAACCTCTGCTCCCTCTGGGTTCAAGCAATTCTCCTGCTTCAGCCTCCCAAGTGGCTGGGATTTCTACAAGCATGTGCCACCGCATCCGACTAATTTTTGTATTTTTAGTAGAAAAGAGGTTTCAGCATGTTGGCCAGGCTAGTCTCGAACTCCTGAGCTCAAGTCATCCACCTTTCTTGGCCTCCCATAGTGCTGGGATTATAGGCATGAGCCACCATGGCCGGCCCCAATAAAGCTATTAAAATTTTTTTTTTAATTTTATTTTTTGAGAAAGTATCTCACTCTATTGCCCAGGCTGGACTGCAGTGGTGTGAAGCTCAAAATAACACTGAAGACACAGTAACACAAGGAACCGTATACAGAGCTCACTACAGCCTCGACTTCCCAGGTTCAAGTGATTTTCCCGCCTCATTCTCCTGGGTAGCTGGGACTACAGGCACGTGCCACCATGCTCAGCTAATTTTTATTTATTATTATTGGTAGAGATGGTGTCTTATTATGTTGCCCAGATTTGTCTCCAATACTTGGGCTCAAACGATTTTCCCGTCTTGACCTCCCAAAGTGTTGTGATTACAGGCATGAGCCACTGTACAATGTACAAATAGCTCAACCATAGCCTTGATCTCCTGGGCTCAAGCCATCCTCTTGCTGTCTCAGCTTCCCATGTAGCTGGGACTACAGGCATTGGCCAGCATGACTGGCTTTTTTCTAGTTTTACTTTTTCAATACTATGTGGCTAGACTCACACTATATGGTTCCTTGTGTTACTGTGTCTTCAGTGTTATTTTGAGCTTCATATCCATGTTATTGCTTATCTTTATTGCTATATAGTATCTTATTTTACAGTTTTTTCAGTCTTCTGTTGAAATTTTTCACTAGTAGTTTTTTGGCTTTTACAAACAACAGTGCTATTGTTAACAGAAGAACTTCAGACATATTAAATTTAACATAATTTAATCAAGCAAAGAATAATTCACAAATTGGGCAGCCCCCTCCAAACTCTAGTGGTACAGAACAATTCCAGAGCTGCCAAGTGATCGGATGACATTTATGGACAGGAAAAGGAAAGTGATATACAGAAAATGAAAGTGAGGTACAGAAATAGCTCAGTGTTTGCCTTATTTGATCACAGTGTGAACAGTTGGCCACAATTCTATGTGATTGGTAGGAGAGTAGGTTACAGTCTCTTTACAGTCTGGTTAGGTACTGCTCACTATGTATGAAGAATCCTTTAGGCTGAATTTATGCAAGGAGGTAGCTTTAGGCAACGCTTAACATTGTGTATTCTTACTCTAGTTGCTTTAGGCCATCAACATAGGTGAAATTGTTGAATCATTGGGCATGCATACCTTCTGCTTCACTGAAAGCACCAAAGCCATTGTACCAATTTACATTTCAATTAAAAAGTGAGGGGCCGGCGTGGGGGCACTGGGGAGGCCCAGTTCCCTCCTCAACCCGACCTACCCGAAGCCCCCTCCGGAGCCAGACCCCTCTGAGAGCACATCCCCATGGGGCGTGGTACGCCCCACTCTGCCACAGCCCGCTTTCCTCGGCAACCACGACTTCTCGCCTCCCCTTCTGCCGCTGAGGGTCTGCAGCAAACATAGTAGGCTTCCCAGAAGTGTTAAAAGGCCAAGGTGGAAGAAACACAACTTTAATGAAGAGACCTGCAGAAACATCCAAACAGCAAAAGGAGGCCGGGATGAAAATGGCCAGCTCTCCCTTATCCACAAGGCTGAAGGAGGGGGGCCGGCTTGCTGTGGTGTGGTCACCCAGGGCCTAGGCTGGGCCGGGCCTGTGGAAGGTACTCGGGAACTGCCAGTTTTGAGTTTCTCCCCAGTGAAACTGACAGGCATTCCGGCAAACGTCTGCCTCAGGTCTCTGGTATAAAAGATAATGCTGCGTATCTCAGTTACCTCACAGGCCTGGGAGAGGGTAATGCCAAGAGCTAGCTGTAAAAGAGCTTGGAAAAGTAAAAAAAGGTGATGTATAAATATAATAATTGATTGTCATTGTGTGCTCAAAAATAAGCCATGGGAAACAAAATTAGGAAAGTAAGTCTGCAGCCCTAAGATATATGCATATAAAATTTTAAAAGACTGCAAAAAAAAAAGTAGAGTTCTTATTTGCTATTTTGGGCTTATAAAAAGTTCATTTGGCTGGATGCAGTGGCTCACGCCTGTAATCACACCACTTTGGGAAGATGAGGTGGGAAAGTCACCTGAGGCCAAGAGTTGGAGACCAGCCTGGACAACATAACAAGACCCCATCTCTACCAATAATATTAAATAAAAATTAGCTGTGCATGGTGACATATGCCTGTAGTCCCAGCTACTTGGGAGGCTGAGGTTTTGAGGATCACTTGAGCCTGGGAGGTTGAGGCTATTTAAGTCTTGATCACATCACTGTAAGTCCAACCTGGGTGACAGAGTGAGACCCTGTCTCAAAAAATAAAATTGGAAAAAAAAATTTTAATAGTTGTATTGAGGAGTAATTGAAATACTGTACAATAATTTGGGCATATTTATATGACATGATACAATAATCCATATGGTCTTTGCTTTGATTCCTGGCACAGAGCTTCAAAAACCCTTGGAATCTCCCAATTGAGAGTGTCTTTGTTATGCTTATGAGGTAGCTCCCAGCACTGGTGCTAAATAGCTTCAGGATGGTACTGGTCACCAGAAAGGCCAAGCGCTTAAATTAGAGGATTGGAACTTTCTCCCAGGAGGAGAGTGAGGCTAGAGATTGAGTTCAGTCTTGATTTTATCAGTCATGCCTGTGTAATAAAGCCCAGCGAAACCTGTGAGCACTAAAGCTCAGGGGAGGTTACTGGTTGCTGAACACAGTGATATTCCAGGAGGATGATATGTCCAGATTTCACGAGAAGAGGGCATGAAGCTCTGTGTCCCCATCCCGTCCACATACCCCTCTTTTCCCCCAAGTCTTTGACTTATGTGTCTCTTAAATTTCACTGTTTTTGAATTACATACTTCTCTTCTACCTTGCTATTTTCCGGTTTGTTTTTTTTTTTCTTTTCTTTTTCCTTCTAGCTCACAGCACCTGCTATTCTCCAGTGGTCTACCATCCAAGTACTAAAGCAGGCTCAATCCTGTTTAGGCTTGAGAATTTCTTTTATAATATAATCCTGTTTAGGCTTAAGTATTTCCTTTATAATAAAACTGTAACAGCAAATATAGTGCTTTCAGGTTGGGTGCAGTGGCTCACACCTGTAATCCTAGCACTTTGGGAGGCCAAGGCAGGTGGATCACCTGAGGTCAGGAGTTTGAGACCAGCCTGGCCAACATGACGTAACCCCGTCTCTACTAAAAATACAAAAAATTAGCTAGTTGTGGTGGTATGTGTCTGTAATCCAGCTACTAGGGTAGGCTGAGGCACGAGAATCACTTGAACCCAGGAGGCGGAGGTTGAAGTGAGCTAAGATGGCGCCACTGCACTACAGCTTGGGCGACAGAGTGAAACTGTGTTTCAGATAAGTAAATAAAAATACAGTGCTTTTATTGAGTTCTGTGAGTTCTTATAGCAAATGTTTAAACCTAAGGGGGCTAGAGGAAACCCGAGATTTATCGCGCTGGTCTGTTAGAAATGTAAGTGGTCCCTAACACTTGGGGCTGGCATCTGAAGTGGAGGCAGTCTTGCGCAAAGAACTTTGCCTTTTGACTTGTGGAGTTCTATGCTAAGGTGGTTAGTGTCAGAACTGAATTGAAGTGTAGTACACCTATTTGGTGCCAAATAATTGCTGTCAGGAAATAACAGCCTGACAAGTTTGTGCATACATCCATAACATTGAAACCATCCTCAAGATTGTGAACATATCTATCACTCTCATGATAAGCGCGATCTGAATGAAGAGACTACCTAAACAGGCTTTGTGTGAGCAACAAGTCTGTTTATTCACTCGGGTGTGAGTGGGCTCAGTCTGAAAAGAGTCAGCAGAGGGTGGTGGGTTAGGAGCTGGTTTTATAGGTTGAGGGTAGGCAATTGAAATTTATATTTTAGGCCTTTTTTTGTTTTTTTGAGATGGAGTCTTGCTCTTTTTGCCAGGCTGGAGTGCAGTGGTGCGTTTTCGGCTTACTGCCACCTCTCTCAGATTGAAGCAATTCCCCTGCCTCAGCCTCTTGAGTAGCTGGGACTATAGGCGTGGGCTAACATGCCCAGCTAATTTTTTTGTATTTTTAGTAGAGACAGGGTTTCACCATGGCCAGGATGGTCTCAATATCCTGACCTCATGATCTGCCCACCTCAGCCTCCCAAAGTGCTGGGATTACAGCCATGAGCCACTGCACCTGGCTGGCGTGTTTTTTTTTTTTTTTTTTTTTTTTTGCAAGTGGTGGGGGGTGTCACAGGGTCCAGTGCCACAAGGTTGACCTGTCAGTTGAGGCAGGAACAAGGGTAGAATGTTGCACTGTTGTTAATCAGGCCACAGGGTCCAGTGACTCATCAGCAGAGGCAGGCACAATGGTGGAATGTCACAAGGTTGGCTAATCAGGCACTGCAGTAGCTAACTATTCTCCTTTTGTGGTTTTCTTGTTACCTCAGACTTTCTGACTCTGGGAGGCCATCTGGAGGTATACGTGTGGGTCAGAGGGGTCACCATGGCTTGACTATGTAGTCCATGGTGCAGTTAGTTCAAAGAACTTTGCACCTCATAAGTTTCCTCCTTTTGCTTTTTAGTCCCCCCTGCTTCCCATTTGTGTCTTGCTTCTGTCAGGTTCCTTTTATTGCTAATTAGAATTCTTTTGTATGGTTATACCACAATGGCTTATCCATATACCTTTTGAAGGACAGTTGGTTATTTCTAGTTTTGTGATATTCTGAATTAAGCTGTTAAGAACACTTATTTGTATTTGTGTGAAATGTTTTCAGTAAATTCTTAAGAATGAAAGTTTTGACTTAAATGTTAAATGCCTCTTTGATTTTATGAAGAACTGCCATACAGTTATCCGAAGTGGTTGTACTATTTTATATACCACCACCAGTGTATGTTTCTCTTAAGTCTGTTTAGATCTTCATTTTTATATGTTTTTTTTTCATTTTTATATGCTTTTATATTGAATTGGTTGACTCACATGCTGTCTGATTTCAAAACTTTTTATAAAGCTACAATAATCAAAGCTATGTGGTATTGGTAAAAGGAAATAGATAATAGGAACACAACAGAGTCCAGAAATAAGCCTACATATTATAGCCAGTTTTTTTCACCAAAGACGCCAAACCAATTCTGTAGAAAAAGAGAAAGAATAGTCATTTTCTAGAAATGGGGCTTGAACACCTTGACCCAAAAGCTTTCAGTACACACGGAAATTAACTCAGAATGAATATAGACATGAGTATAGTTTAAGTAAAAACCTAAAACTATAAAACTTTTACAAGAACACATTAGAAGGCCAGGCGTTGTGGCTCACACCTGTAATCCCAGCACTTTGGGAGGCCAAGGCAGGTGGATCACTTGAGATTAGGAGTTCGAGACCAGCCTGGCCAACATGGCAAAACCCCATCTCTACTAGAAACATAAAAATTAGCTGGGTGCGGTGGTGCATGCTTGTAATCCCAGCTACTCAGTAGTCTGAGGCAGGAGAATCACTTGAACCTGGGAGGTGGAGGTTGCAGTGGGCCAAGATTGTGCCATTACACTTCAGCCTGGGCAACAGAGTGAGACTCTTATCTCAAAAACAAAAAAAACCACACATGGAAGAAAATCTTCGCAATTTTTGGTTAGGTGAAGATTTCTTAGAACATACAAAACACAAAGCATAAAAGAAAATAATTGATGTTAGATTACATTAACTAAATCCTTCATCAGTTAAATTTTTTTGTTTGTTTTTCCCAACTTGGGTTGTCACAAACATCAATTAAATTTTTTTATATTTATTTATTTATATTAAAAAATATTTTAAAAATGGGGTTTCACCGTGTTAGTCAGACTGGTGTCTAACTCCCTACCTCAGGTGATCCACCCCAATTAAATTTTTTTATGCGTTAATGACAAGCCTCAGACTGGGAGAAAATATTTGCAAAATATGCATCTGATAAAGGATTGGTAACCAGAACATATCAAAGCTGAAAACTTAGAAGGAAAAAAGAAAAGGCAAGAGATTTGAAGAGGCACATCACCAAGAAAATGTAGAATAAATGGCAAATACGTGAAAATATGCTTAATTTTGAGTTAATTTATCTAAAAAAATAAATGAAATATTTGTAGAGTGCTGGAATATGGTAAGTATTAAGGAAATGTTAATCATTATTAACACTATTGGTATTGGTTTCTTTTTTATTTATTTATTTTGGCTTTTTTATCAATATTATAAAAACCTAGCTGTGGGCAAAATACTTACTTTGATTTTTTTTCCCTACTCATTTCTTAAAACAAAAAAAGACTGACTTCAATAGATAAATAGCCAGAGAGTATTAAAACATAATTTACAGGGGAAAAAACCTCAAACATACCAAGAAATTGTTTAATTCTCATAAGTGTATAAGTTAGATGAGGTAAGAAGAGATTGGTCTGCAAAGAAGCAGTAGCATTTAAAAAGGCCCAGATGGCACAGGGGATTCTGACATGTTTAAGGATCTGAGAGAAAATCAGAGTCATGTTTCAAACACCAGTCCAGCTTTAGTTATGTTCTTTTAAGCAGACAGGGAACTTGATATTTAAAAAGTGATTTGGAATTGCTGGAAGAGCACCCTCAATTCAGGCTTAGAAGACTGGACTCCCAGAACACTTCATATAGCTGGCCCACAAGGAGAGCGGCATCCTGTGCTCTAATCAGAAAGGTGGGGAAATCAGGAAGCCACACTGTAGTAGCTCTTCAGTAGGGACACACTTTTAGCCATGATCCAGTGATTAAGAAATCACCATTGGTATAATTTGCTACGGAGCCTCACACAGTTTAATAGATTAGTACCAGCACAAAATGGATGGTTCTTCTCTCTATCTTCACAATACTAGCAGCCAGTCAGTAGAAAGCTACTGTGTATGTACATGTCCACACATACATACACACAACACCTCACTCCATACTTGCCAGCTAATAGCAGAAACTACAGTACCACCTCTTCTGACCTTTCACCTTCCAAATCTTGAATAAGTGCCTCTGACTGGTTATTCCAGAATTATGACTTCAACTCCATTGCAAGGGAATCTAGGAAATGTAGTTTTTAGCTTTCCTACCTCAGTACAGCACATTAAAAATGTGCACAGAACGACATATTTTAAAGAGGGAAGAATGGGTCGGGTGCGGTGGCTGACACCTGTGATCCCAGCACTTTCAGAGGTTGAGGCAGGTGGATCACAAGGTCAAGAGATTGAGACCATCCTGGCCAACATGGTGAAACCCTGTCTCTACTAAAAATACAAAAATTCGCCAGACGTGGTGGCGGGCGCCTGTAGTCCCAGCTACTCAGGACGCTGAGGCAGGAGAATCGCTTGAACCTGGGAGACAGAGATTGCAGTGAGCCAAGATTGTGCCACTGCACTTCAGGCTGGACAACAGAGTAAGATTCCATCTCAAAAAAAAAAAAAAAAAAAAAAAAAGCCGCATGGCCAAATCCAGAGTCATCCGTGGGAGAAGACTATACAAAGTGCACATATGAGAAGGCATTGCATCATAGTCAGCCTCCAAGATAGCCCTGAATGAACCGTATTTCCTTGTATAGTATTTACTCACACTGAACCGGGCTGACCTGAGTAATGAATAGGCTATGGTAGAAGTGATAGTGTATTCTTTTCAAGATTAGGTCATACAAGACTGTCACTTCAGACTTGCTCTCTTGGATCTTGCACTGGGGGAAAACTAACTGCCTTTTCACTGGAGACGTCTGGAAAGGCCCATGTAATGAGGAACTGAGGACTTCAATAAACAGCCAGTGTCAACTTAGAACCATAAGAATGAGTTACCTTCAAAGCACATCCTGCACACCCAGTCAAGCCTTCAGATTACTGCAGCCTTGACCAAGTACAGCCTCTTGAGAAATTCCAGGCCCACATGACTTAGCTAAGTTCTTGAACCACAGATGATAAATACATGTTATTGTTTTAAGGCACTGAGTTTTGGGGTATTTTGCTACATAGCAGTAGTTTAAAAATACATTCTGGCCTGGGCAACATATGGCAAAATGTCATCTCTACAAACAAAAGTACAAAAATTAGCCAGGTGTGGTGTGTGCCTGTAGTACCAGGTGCTCAGGAGGCTGAGGTGGAAGGGTTGCTTGAGCCTGGGAGGTGGAGGTTGCAGTGAGCTGAGATTGCGCCCCTGCACTCCAGCCCAGGTGACAGAGCCAGACCCTGCTCTTGAACTCCTGGGCCCAAGTGATCCTCCTGACTTGGCCTCCCAAAGTGCTGGGATTACAGGTGTGAGCCACCATGCCCAGCCCTTCTCTATCTTTTGCTTCACAAACCCTGATTCTGGCTTCTTTGGATTTGTCTAATTTCTCGAGATGGAAATATAGATCATTATTTTGTAAAATACACATTTAAGATTATAAATTTCTGCCAGGTGCAGTTTTAAGATACACATTTAAGATGATAAATTTCTACAGTTCCTCACACCTGTAATCCCATCACTTTGGGAAGCCGAGGTGGGTAGATGATGAGGTCAGGAGATTGAGACCAGCCTGACCAATCTGGTGAAACCCTGCCTCTACTAAAAATACAAAAATTAGCTGGATGTGGTGGTGGGCGCCTGTAATCCCAGCTAATCAGGAGGCTGAGGCAGGAGAATTATTTGAACCCGGGAGGCAGAGATTGCAACAAGCCAAGATCGTGCTATTGCACTCCAGTGACAGGGTGAGTCTCTGTCTCAAAAAAAAAAAAAAAAAAAGATTATAAATTTCCTTTAAGTACAGCTGTAAGTGCATCCCACAAGTTTTGGTAGTTCATATTTTCATTATAATTCAGTTCAAAATATTTTCTCATTTTCATTATGATTCCTTCTTTTATCAGTTATACTTTCCTAAATATTTAAGGAAGAAATAAAACCAGTCTTACTATCAAATTTTCAATATACTCTGATAGAAAAAAGAGGGTTCACTGCTTATTTTGTTTCAAACCAGTATAATTTAGTATTAAAACATGATACGGTTGTCTTAAGAAATTATAAGCCAGATTTTTAAAATATGATTACAAAAATAAAGGAAAAAATATAATAGCAAATAAAATACACATTGAAGTATTATGACCAAGTTGTCTTTATTTTAACAGTGTAAACTTGGACTAAAATTAGTAAAATTAGACTTTGTGAATGCAAACTTGGATTAAAATTAGAAAACCAGCCATTGGGATTTACTATATTAACAGAATTAGGGAGAAAATGTGATTATTTCAATAGGTGTCAAAAAATACACAATAGGCTCGGGCATGGTGGCTCATGCCTGTAATGCCAACACTTTGGGAGGCCCAGGAATTCAAGATCAGACTGGGCAACGTGGCAGAACTCTGTTGCTTCAAAAGATATTTTAAAAAATTAGCCAGGTATAGTGGCACATGCTTGTAGTCCCAGCTACTTGGGAGGCTGAGGTTGGAGGACCACTTGAGTCTGGGAGGCAGAGATTGCATTGGGCTGAGATCGCTCCACTGCACTCCAGCCTAGGCAACAAAGCAAGACTTTGTCTCAAAATAATAATAAAATGTAACACTTATGATAAAAAAAAAATCTTGGCAAAAAGTATAGCTTTAATATTTGACAAGGGCAACAGATTGTATTAGTCCTGGTTCTCTTAGAGGGACGGAACTAATAGGAATAAATGCACACACACAGAGCTAATAGGAATACGCACACACACCCCCTCTTTCTCCCCTAATAGGCTATATATAGGATACTAATAGGATATATATATGGGGCACAT